ACACACACACACACACACACACACACACACACAGCCAGGAGACCCTCTGACGGGCCGGCTCTGCAGAACCTCCAGCAGCTCCTCTAGTTTCTGATTGGACCTCTCAGCCTCTGTTCACGCCCACTTCCTGCTCAGGTTCTGGTTCCGTTTGTTCAGATGGTTCTTTTTTTATGCTGAGTCATCAGCATGTGTGTAACCAGTGAGAGCACCGGTACCTGGAGACACAGGTGAGTCCATCTGACAGGTCAAAGGTCATTTAGAGTTCTTGCTGCTACACAGATTATTCAGAGTCTTCACCCTGAAGGTCAGACTGTGCAGTGAGCTCCATCTCTACAGCCTCAGCAGGTAAAGGTGCAGCCTGTCCAGGTTCTGTGCGCAGCCCTCAGATAGATTTTCATTTTGGGGAAAAGCTTTGTGCAGCCTTGATATATGTATATAAACTGAAACAGCTGGACTAGTGCATCCTAAATTTAACATTAATTAATTATTTTAATACAACAGTCATTTATGTATTTTTGGGGAGGTCACCTCCTAACCTAACTGCTCATTTTAAATCAATACTTTTACTTTTAATACTTAAGTACAGAAAATATCAGATTCTTTTAAGACTTTTACTCAAGTAATATTCCTAAAGGAGATGAACTTTTACCAAAGTATCACTTTGTGGTACTTTATACAACACTGGAAAGCAGACTGAGGTGATGATACTACACAGAGGCAAACACCAGCATGACTAAGACCCTGATGGAGCATACTGTAACACAAGGGAAAAAAACGCTTTTCTATTTCAAAATTTTGTTTTCTTTTTTCGTTTTATTTGTATTTAACATATAAAAGTTTCAAACAAATGCATAATGTAATACATTTTGGAAATCAAATCATATGCACTGTTGTGGTAAGACTGTCCCATGAAAACCTCTGCTCAACTTAAATGAGTAGCTCTCTTTGAAACAGTCATTTCTAATCTGGTTCTTATGAAAACTTTGTTATGTTGTGCTGACATTGCATTTACAAACTTTCGCCATTTCCTTTTTATACTTTATGGAAATGTGTCATCCTCAACTCTGCCTGTATAATCAGGTCAGCTTTTCAATGTTAAGCACTTCAAAATATAGTTACATTTTATATTATTGTTTGTTTTCTAACAAATTGCACATCCTTAGCTTTTTGTGTCTTTACTCTTGAATGTTTTGTGTTAGAACAGAATCACAGAGCTAGAGCAAATATAACAGATAAAGAGAAATATGTAACACAAAAAGAAGAAAGAACAGAATGACACAGACAAAACAAGACCAAAGAGGAGAAAATTGGAGCATCAAGAAGACGCTGTAGGCGATTTTTGTCTGGGCACAAATACCTGTGTAAGCGTTGGCTATCCTGGGGAACAAATTATGTTGACTTGGCACATCTCTGCTCTGCAGAAAAAGAAAGAAAGCAAAAGGCAGCAGTGTGCATTTTTCATTCAGGGATTTTTTTTCTCTCTCTCCAATATAGATTGAAGTCAAGTGGAAAAAAATAAAACTATCTGTAAATTTCTTAAATAATTTTGCAACTTTTGAACTGAAACATGTGCAGGAAAATGATTTTCATTAGTTTTTGATGTAATTTTTTTTATTTTTTATATGACATAATAAATATGACATCCACGTAGACATTTTAAAGCCATATCACCTGCTATGCCTGAGATGTAAACTTGAGTGAATTTAGTTTGGTTGACTTTTAAGAAAAACTACATTAATTTATGCACCAAACTAAATCACCTTTATTTGAATTTAGTAGAGTACATAGAAAAGTGTTAAGAGTTTTGAAGCTGGCATATGCTTTTAAATCTTTTTCACTTTTATAAATAATCCAGACGGGGTTTATATAAAGAGGAACTGCAATGCTTTGGTCTGAATTTCTACTTATTGTAGCTCCACAAGCCCCTCTTTCACCTCTGTTCTGAGATAAACTCATTTTGGTGTGGTCTAGTCTTGAATGCAAATGAGGCAGTTTACACCCCCCCCCCCCCCTTTCAGGTTTCACTCCCAGTGATCATTATCCACTCCACCCCATTCCGACATTTTTGTAGTTTGATTTCAGTGATACGATTATCTAGTGGCGTAGAATAGTTTTATTTACAAATTGATGGAAAGATGTCATCAGCAGAAGACTTGTCCATCCAGCCTTAAATGTTGGAACCAGAGTCTGACCCAGTTCGAGAGGAACACCAAGACGACAAACCTGCAGAACCGCAGATTTGAGAAATTGATTACCCATAAGTCTGTGACCTTGTTTAGCTGTTCTACAGCAAATACTGATGTTTTTGTTCAAAACATATAATAGAAAATAGAGAAAACTGAATGGACTGGAGCATGTGATTCAAACAGAATATAAAGACATTCATAGCACTGGGAAAAACAAAATTCAACTTTTCTGCACTCTTAGAGACTCAAATTACACAACAAAATGCATCAAATAGCTAAAGAAAATGTTTTTTTTTCACAAGTAGTTCCCTTTTAAGATCAAAGTAAAAAATATTTAACCTGAGGAAACCTTCTATAATTTCCCCTTGGGATAAATAAAGTAGTTTTTTTAATTGAATTGAAAGAATACAATTGTTTACAAAATAAGTAAAAATCAGAAACAAACCACATGTGATCTTTACTCATATACAGCTAAACATACCATAAAATTCATAGAATCAATAATATATTTTTGTCACAATTAACTTTTATTTTACATTTTTCTTGTTGTCTGACTGGCTCCATTACAAACCAGTAAGAAATCTTGATTAACCAGCAGAGAAGTCCATCTGGACTTTGTTTTTCTTCCACCACTTTGCTTCTCTTTAACAATCTGTTTTGTACAGCATGTTACACTTTTGCTTAATTACCTCCAACCTAAAAACTTTACCCCTCCCCTCCCCCAACAACAGAAAAAAGGAGAGAGAGTTGAGTTTTACTTTTACATTTCTATATACATATTTTCAAATGCTAACATCAGCTTCAGTACAAACCACTCGTTGCACTTGCTCGACAACGTGGGCTGTTTCCCAGCAGATACTGGGCAGAGTCTTTAAATGAACAAGGAGGGACTGGGAGCAATCAACAGATGGAGGTGTAGGAGAAGTGTCGTCTCTTTTGTTGGGGGGGAGAGCAATCGAGCCTGCCAACGCTAACAAAATATCACAGTCAAGGCCTGATTTTATTCACAGCTGACTGGGTGATATTTTTGTCCTCTTAAACATTTTCTATGCTTTAAAAAAAGGTTGAGATGAAGAAAAGAGTGTGTAGAAAGCCTTATGTCTTTGACTGAATATGGTTTTATTGGCTTATTAGTTGGTTTAGGGAATGTCAAGCATGTACTTTCACACATAAGGTCCCTTGAGTGCACATGTTAGAGGACTGGGATTGATGAAATATAAATGTAATACAATACACAGAAGGGTTCAGGCTGCCAGAAGAGGCTTACAGGATCAGACAATTCTCAAGTTTAAAAGAGATGCAATTTAGGGAATATTTGGGTTCTTAGAAAGCAGATTTAATTGTTTTCTTTAGGGGTTTATAAAAAAAACTCTTTGTAAAGAAAAAGCCAACTAAAAAAATAGAATTTGCTGTACTTTAGCTTGCACAAATGGCAAAATGGAGAAAGCAGTACAAATTGGAAACAAATTCTCCTCCAGCACATGAAAGCAGACTAATTATTACGTATTTAAAAAAAAAAACACTTTACAGGATTTTTCATAATAAAAATGTTACATATTTTTTTTCTAATAAACTTCTGTCTAAATAGACATTCTTTTGATAGTTTTAACGAAACTTCAAAATACTTAAAACAGTTATTACCATTTGTTTTTGTTTAGTTTTGTTCTGTTTGTTTATAAATCCTGTTCAGTAACAAAACTAATCTCACACACTTTGCAAAAATAAATCAAATTGATTAACTAGCACTTTATTTCATTACCTACAGTGTTTAAAACAAACCAATCAGTCCAGTTCTAACACAGTTCAAACCTATCAGTCAGAAGAATCTAAGCAGTTTGGGTTGTGGCAGAACCAGAACCAGGAAGGAAAGCAATCTTAAATAGATTAGTTAAATAAATTAAATAAATTAGTGCTGTCAAACGATTAAAATTTTTAATCTATTAATTCCAAGGTAGCTGTGAATTAATCATGATTAATCTTAAACTTAATATGAAACTTTATTGCATATTGGTAAAATAAATTACTTGAGTTATTACTACTACATACTACTACTATAGTACTACATGAGGAATGAAAGATAGATACACAGTTGTCAGTAAAATATAAATAAATAAAATAAAATAAGTCATAAGAAGACAAAAAGAAAAAAATGTACACAATGTGTTACACATGGAGTTTTTTTTAAATATTATTTATTTAACCTTTATTTATCCAGGTAAACTGTTTGAGAACCACTTCTCATTTACAAACATGACCTGACACTGAGTGCAGTGCAGTATACAAACCTACATATTCAGCCATAGTGAAGTGATTGTAAATTTTAATTGATTGAAATTTTAATCTATACCTATGCAGCACTAAAATTAATCAGAGTTAACTCGATTAATTTCACAGCCCTAATTTAAATAAATACATCTAAAGACACCATTCAATAAATACTTATGGAAAATGTAAAATAAATAAAGCAGGTAAATTACAGTAATATCCGTGTTTACAGTAATCGAGAGTAAACACATTAAAAGCACAGGGAGAAGACGTGATCACAATGTACTGTCCAGCGGCTTAAGCTTTTTAATCAAAGGCATGACTTGGGGACATCTAGTCCAGTTCAATTTTCCATTAAAGAAAGTTTTTAGCCAAGTCTATGTGTTCATCCCAAATCCATACTAGGAAGTGGTTTCATAAGAGAGGAACCTGATAACTGAAGAGTCTGCCTGTTAATGTTAGGATTTCTGCAGTTTGAGAGTAAAGTGCTCTGTTTGGAATAGGGTTGGACAATATTGGCAAAAAAATTAATCACGATTAATTGTGGTATTTAGCCGATAACGATTAATTTGACGATTAATGCCCTGAGTCCCTGGACACACTTATTTCGTAGTAACATGACCAATTTAGTGGGAAAGATTTGCTTTTTGTAAAAAATTGTTCCAAATTGTGTGAAAATTACAGATTTCAGGCTATACATCATATTTTAAATTGTGTAGATAGAAAAATAAATTACAGAAGTTTATTTTAATGTTCGTCATACTGTATTTGAAGTGGAGAGGAGCACTGAGCAGACTGACCGGAGTAATCCCCAGTCAGTCTGCCTGGTGGCATTAATTGTATTAATTGTCAAGTGCCAAAAAGTAATAGATTGTTTTTCTGATGATTAATTGCACACGATACGATTATGCCCAACCCTAGTTTGGAAACTGTACAAATTTAATGCTTTCAAAGTTTAATGTTATGTTAGAAGTCTCTGATTTCAATATTCAATGAAATCCAAGTTGGTTTGAATTTTGTTTTACCTATAGTAGCGTAACTGAAATATACACACTTTTGCTACATTTAGTCAGCAATCCTGCTGTAGAATTTTTTCAGATTGTTAATAAAACACACAGTAATCCTGCATGGAAATAACTGAATGTGCAATTTTTTTGTCACGCTGACTAATGATTGTCCTAAATTTAGTAATAGTTGCCTTCCTTTTTTGATTGATTTGAAAGTTAAGCACCCCTATTGGTGGAACCAGGACCTTGTACACCTTTCTGTCTTAATGTAAAACAGCGGATCAATTAAGTGTTGAAAGTGAATCAGACATGTATCTAAACATAAAATCATAAATTTAATCACAACCATATTCACACAATGGTTTATGAAACTGTATCATGTTTCACCTAAGAAAAGACTATTAAATATGTAGTGCCTTTTAAAAATCAGTAGTAAACAACCCCAATAAATTTCTTCAGATTGATGGATTGATGATGCCTTTATTGTCATTGTACGGAGCACAGTGAAATTACATTTAAGAACACCAATTCAATTTATGTGTCAAACTTATTTTTTTGTGCATTTTAAAGAAACATTCTTGTCAAAAATAGCTTCAAGGTTCCTCACAGTGTTACTGAAGGGAAAAGTCATTTAATTATAGACAGATGGTTTGTTCTTACAGCGCTTGGGTACAAAATCAACATCTGTCTTTGCTGAATCCGTGAGCAAAAATAAAGTCATGCTGGCTTTTTAAATCTTAAAAATATGTTTCTAGTTGGAAGGTTTAACTGGGTTTCTTAAATAACTATAATGAAAAAAAAAATGATATACTGTTTTATAATGCTATTTAATTGAAGAAAATATTGGATGAAAAACATTAATCCAAACACAGAGCCTTGTAGAATTTCATGACTTTAATATTGGGATCGAGAAAAACTTATTGTTTACTCAAAGAAAGTGAAATTTCTTTGACTCGGCTTTTAGCTATGTATACAAGAAAACTACAGTACCAAAGCTAGGTGTTTAATATTTAAGTTATACCTAATTAAGATAACAGATGTGCTTATTTGTCTTTCAATGTGAAGGCACCTTCTTAAACCAAAGTGACTAAAAAGTATTTCTATTCACATTTTTCTCTGAATTCACTGTTTTCTTTTGTAAGACACACAGCAATGTTTTATAGATTGCTGTGATTTAAAAAAAAAACAATTTTACATCTCTTCTTCCTCCCATTGTTCATGCTCACAATTTCTCTCCTGATCTGTATGTTTCTCCGTCTCATTGCAGTAAATTGCCAAGCTGGGCTCGAGCAGTGGTTCCTAAAATCTTCTATGTCACAGAGAAAGCGTGGAACTACTACCCATACACCGTTACAGGTAAATATACAGTGCAAATGCCTTTTGGAGCTTGTCCAGCTGTGTAACAGAGAGCCCTGCTGCAACACTCTGCCTCTGAAGTGCTTCCCAGCTATAGAAAGAGAATGACGGTGCAGTCACATGGAGCGCGGTGCTGTGTTTAAGGTCACCTTTTCTGATAGTTTTCGGAGGACTTTTAAGCAGGGATACATTTTACTCTTGATGCAAACGCCTCTTTTTACAAACACTTTACGAGGTGTTTGTAGCACTTTTGAAATAGTGTGAAAAGACAAAAGAAGAGACGTAATCCAATGCTGCTGGTCAGCTCAGCACATATTTAATTCCTTATAAAACCTCAAAGTAACGACGTATCCTGAGAAACACCTGGCATATGGTATATGCTCTTGGCTCAGTTTCCCGCTGCACTGTTTCTAATTTCTGAAAATGATTTAGAGGGTTAAACTCAGTGAGGCACACATTTCCTAAAAACACAGACATCATTGGCACAGGTAGAAGAATATGTCAGATTTAGGGCTGGTGGTTCTGCCAAGTTAGGGCCACTGCAGTAAACAGTGAGAGGCTCTTGGGTGTGGGTGAGTTTGGGAAAACTTATTGGTCGGATCGACTTGAGTGTTAACAACAGGTGTTTTCCTTAAAAAACAATTTGCATCAAGTTAGAGACACAAAAAGTGGCACAGCTTTCAAATTAAAAGCTTAAACTTTAGTAACTCCTGGGAAGGAACCTGCTAATGGAAAGAAAACCACAAATAAATTTAAAATGACCTTACATCTGATGAATTAGTACATTATACTTTTTCAGTAGGGAATTTTATTACGTTAAATGAACTCTTTTGAACACTTAATTTTATTTAGAAATAAAAAACGTTACATTTAGCTTCGGCAACTTAACATAGATTGTGCTAAAGATTAAGCATCTTTTTTGAATATATATATTTAGTTATTTTAGCTGTTATCGTGTAAACTGACACAAAATAATTCTGCGGACTCCTTATGTGTTTATAGAAGTATTTCTGACAGATACACACCAACAAAACTACTAATAATTTATTCAAGCTAATGCTAGCTGTGTACCATGCATGTAGCTAATGTTTTTGTCACTTGTTGACCAAACTTGAAGGGCTAATACTGTATGTCCAGCCAGTTCACACATATCTACATATTACAATACATGGAAAATTAAACAATAGTTAAAGGGACAGTGTGTAGGATTTGTTGTTTTCAGCGACATCTAGTGGTTGAGTGGTTGAATCATCCTCCCTGGTCCTCCCCCCACCCCCACCCCCCGCTTCCAAATGCAAAGGAGTTGCTACGGTGTCTCTCAGGTGTCAAAAACCTTTGATAATTCCACCAGATTGCATGTAAAAAATAAATACTAGACCACTGCAACAG